ATGCATTCTAATGCACGTGTTCGAAGAGAAATTACGTTAGACGTCCGTTGTGATTGAGAGTGCATTTAAGTTTCGGTCGACTCTGTCGTTTACGTAGACTATAAAGAGGGATGCGTCTGAAAAATTTGGCAATCTTCCCTGAGCGTACTAACTTGATGGAACTAGGATGACGTAAACAGTCTCTGAATTAACTATTTCAAAATTAAAAACACGCATGATCAGATATTGATTCGTTTGGTGATAAATATTTAAGTGATTTGTTAAGTACCTAATGCCATGATAGCATTATATGTCATAGAGGTTTTTCCTGCTCTTCGTTGTTTGATGCTTTTCTGTTGGCCAGCGTCGATGCGTTTAAACATCATCGACCGTTCTCTGAACGTTAAGAGTCCTCTTGCTTCGGCAGGAGATTCGTTCTTTCTTCTTCCTCGAGCAATTTCTTCGATGACATCACTCTGTTTATTTCTCGACATGCAAGAACTTCCATGTCCAAATCTAATTTATTCGGAGTTTGAACTGGGCTTGTTACCGAAGGTGTCTGTAACATATATGTAGTCAATCATTACATTATTATTATTATTACTGCTACTGCTACTGCTACTGCTACTGCTACACATTGAATATAAGAATATTAAAGCTACGTACCTTCGTCGGTGAATTTTTAAGTTTCCCATTATGGTCGCTGTACGATGAAACAAATTTTGAATGCGTCACTGGGCTAGCGCTAACCGGAGCGGGCGAAGTTGGAGCAGTTGCACTATGAACAGGAGATTGTACGGTATCTTTATCCTTTTTTTGTTCCTTGTCCTTATCGACCGGCAACACGGGAGATTCTGGCACGCTGCGATCATCCTCGTCTAAAGAGTGCAGTAACTGAAAATTGAAATCAATGAATACGTTTGTCCAACGATTAGATACTTTTGTTTTTTTTTCTTTTTTTTTAAATGGTCCCCATAACGATCAACCTTCTCAACTTCGTCATCGAACTGCTCGTGGCCTGGTAACGGATCTTTTTGGCTCTTCTCCAGAAGCGTCGCTCGTTTCGCAGCCAAGTAAAGAGATCTTTTAATTTTAACGTAGAACACTTCCGTTACCGCCCGTACCGTGTAATCAGGGACGAACGTGTATCGCAACATAGAATCTAAATTGATCGATTGTATGCTTCCCACTGCTTGCGGGTTTGAAGTAGTCGGTGATTCGGCTGAAAATCCAACGTAGAACGAAATTCGATGGCTATCTTGATTATATAAAGGATCGTTCGTTCGAGATCTTACCGATTCCTATATTGACGATAAACGCCTGGGATCCGAAATATGTGAATGGACCGCTCTCGAACATCATATTCTCTTTGCCGACCGTAACTTCGACCCGACCTTCCAAAATCAAAACAAAATAATCGACTGCCTTTCCCTGCTGATAGATAACCGCCGCCGGATCGTGCCTCGCTTTCTCGCGCGACTTCACTTTGATATGATAAATAATGTCTTGTTTAAGCAAACGACGTAAAATAGTTTCCGATATTGTGTCGGACTTAAATGCATCGACAGCTGTGAATTATATATTACACTCAGATGATATGTATCTTAAAGAGTATTGCTTAACAGATTTTTATATAAATCTCATATTTTCTTAAATCAAAACACTTCTTCCTACTTGTGGATAAATATTGAAACATGGCCAGTGTCAACTGCGGCGATATATGAATTCGTTGGTTCTCTTTCTTCTCCGCGAACACGGTGAAGTCTTGTACTTTGTGCTTTGCTTGTCTTCGACGTTTAGTTCTATTATCCGCTGTGAACAAATATTTAACAATCTTCAGATTTCGAACTCGTGAGAATATTTAGAGATTGAAATTCAAGGATGGATCAAAGAATCTTACTAAACACGTCAGTTTCATCCATGATTTCAGCTTGAATCAATTCTTCTATGACATCCTCCAATGTAACCAACCCTATTACTTCGTAAAACGGATCTCCTTCTCCTTCGTTATTTACTCTCTGAACGAATGCCATGTGACCTTTGTGACCTGACAACAGTAAATGCATACTTTCATTAGGCATCGGTCACTAAGATATAAATGTATCTATGGAAACATCTGTTAATTATTTACAAATATTTACCTTCTTTAAATTGCTTGAACATTATGTCCAATGTGACATCTTCGAAAATAAAATTGCACTGATTTTTGTAAAACTGACACAACGTTTTAAGCGGCATGTTATCGTCCGGATCGACAAACGCAAGATCTTTAATGTAAAGCATTGTTACTATGTTTGTTCTAGTTCCTTCGAACACTGGTATCCGTGAAAAGCCTGGAAGCGATAGACAAACACTATGAAAATTCATCTATGTTAATTAACCTACTGCAACGAAAAATGCGAAACGTATACGAAACGTGTACCTGTTTTCATGATCTCGGATACCGTTTCAAAATCTAAGACGGCATTGTAATCCAGCATATATACATCCTCAATTTTTGTCATTACATCCGCGACAGTCTTCTTTCGTAATTCTAATGCGCCAGCGATAATGTTCACTTCGTCCTTTTCTAAATCGTTATAGCCTGTCGTGACCTATAAGGAATTCATATTGGCATATAATTATAATTGCACGTGAATCGATATGAAATCTTTGACAATGTTTTTACACATTATATAAGTAGAGCACTCTCAGAAAAGGGTCCTGGATTATTAATTACACAACTTACATTTCTTTGTACTCATATACATACATATATATGCACATAAATATATGTATCATATAGAAATACATTTAAACGATAAGTTCACCTTAAATTAGCACAGTATAAATATGTAAAGTTATCTTATTTAAGTTTCACATTGATAAGTAATCTAACATGTACTCTGTAGAATGTGAAAACTTCAAGCAAACGTCAGTAGATCTATATCTTACCTACATATGATTGAATTTGGATGTCAGTATAATTATCTGCCCTATCCATGCTCATTCTGATAAGATCCGTAAGAGTAAAAAGTTTGGAAAGGCGTTTGATAATGTATACTTCAAATTACAATCAGAAAAAACTATATTAAGTATATACTGTAAGAATAATCTAATGTATTAACAGTGAATTTTTTTCTCTCACCCTTACAAGTTCCTTCAAGCGTTCACGGTTATACACATTGCCAATTTCTTCGCCAAGAAGAAAGTCTAGTAGCTTGCTAATGGGGTAACTTAACGGAAACGTTATTATCATAGTCAATTTTGTTACGTAAATTGTTTTAGCTCCAATACATAATCCATGTCTGCTACAAATAGCCTGAAACATTTTACATGTTTTTCAATACAATTATACGGCATACAACTAAATTCATTGAAACTTTATCATTAATGATCCAATAAAAATGATAACTAAAAATATACATACTTGCGGTGAAATTTCACCGAAAATCACAATAGCTAAGGTAGAGCAGATAACAGCAACTAATCCCGAAGTTAAATCATCTAGCAAAATAGTAAATATCGAATTTACTAAAACGTTCGAGAACAAAATTGAACATAACAAATAATTCCCGTGATTCCTCACTGGTTGTATGGTCCTTGCATATTGCCTTTCCTTTAATGCATAAACAATTAGAAAGTTGTGAAATTATTGTATAAAATTATAATTTAGAATTACAGAATTACAGTGAAATAAGGTAAATAAAAAGTACCTTTTCTGTTCCTGTATTACACAGTATTTTCAATTCAGTTCTGTCCATTGCCATTAGTCCCAAATTCAAACCAGAAAACAGAGCTGAGAAACTGAGACACATAAGTATAATTACAATACTAAGCCAAAGTGGTAAAAATTTCTTGTATGTATAAATCTGTAAACAATAATTGATAATAGATATATTTAATGCGATAACTTCCAACAATTCTGTAATCACTTTTGAATGTACTATCAAGTGTGTTACTTACAGTGTTCCATGACTGAGTGCCTTGATGTTTGAATAGCAAAAGATCCGGTCCTTCCTTTCCGTATACTGGTTGTTTTATACATAGAAAAAATGGTGAGCCAAGTGGCAATACCACATCAATAGTCGCGGTATTGTTCCTTACATTTCTTACCTATATCAAATATACCAGTGAATCTAACTATATTTTTAGTTTGTGTAAACACAGAAAAATATAATAAAGAATAGGATAAAATAATTACTGGGAATTCGTTGCTCTTGATTTTATCACAAATGGTACCTCTTCTTGCTGGTTCATCTGTGAAAGTGACCAACATATCCTCTGTGATACCAGTACCAAATAATCTTATAACAGCCTTGCTCCCAGCTAGTATTTCTGGAATTCCATTTTCGCTGTAACTAGGATCCTTGTCAGCTGTTTCTATTCTTAGTCCTTGAATAACTGCTTCTGTATGGAGCTCTTCAGTCATTAAATTTTCATGGTCACCATTCACAAATGGCGAATAATCTGCACGACGTGTACGAAACTGTTTCCTGAGAACGAAACAACAGCATTTAGTTTACATTTCACATTAGAATTTCTTGAACAATAATAGTTTACAGAATGAATACTTTGGTAATGCTCATAAATATTTGGAAAAGAGTTCAGTAATATCTATGTACGCTAGAATATAGTGTTTATCAGTTTAGCACATCAACTATTTATCCTTTATCCGTAATGAACTTCAGTGTATTTATTAAATGTGAAAATTCGGGTCAAGGTTTCTAGCTTTCAGCAGATGAACTAAGAATGTAGCAATGAAGTGTGTTTCACTTCTATTGAAATCATATGTTGCTCTTTACTTTGAAATCTCATAGGACAGTTGTACGCGATTTCCTACGTCCGTCTGCGTTTCGAATATTTCAATAAAACGATCGAATAAACGTACGCGGGTATTGTAAACATTTAGCGAATATTATTGCAATAGCCGTAAAATAAAATCGGCTTGCCGTCGGTAATATCGGTATTTTCATACATTTAAAAAATTATGCCATGTCATAAGACGGATATCTATTATTAGTAAAGGAAGGGCATTTTCTCTGATGACGTTCGGTGAAAGAGATAAATGATTAAGTATTCGAAACTTACTCGGATCGTGGCGGAAGGGTGATAGCAAAGTTGCTTCCAAGATTGGTCCATGTTTCGCCGAACCTGGTCACGATTCTTAGACAGAAATAGATCGTGGTAACCTTAAAAGTAGGAACTTGGGCGAACTGGTATATCGCACGGTCGCCGCTCGGCGAGATCCAGATCGCGTACAATCTATTGTTCGGATTACAATTGTCGGGTGTTGGTGACCAGCACAAAGAAATGTTGCTCTCCAGACCGGTGCCAAGGACTTCGACAAGGAAATCCGAACTGTCCGACGAGTGTTTTCTCGTGTCGGAACGCTCTGTCTGTAGGATATTCACTGATCTCACATTTTGATTATCAATTATTTTCGCTCCTATAAATGCATTCACGTATACTAGGTTGAATATTGTAAAAACAAGTAATAAAAGAGCTGCCGGTGTGCCTGAACGGTCAACATGTTGCGCCATCATGCGACAAGTGCACCGTGACAACTTCACACTGTCGTTAGTTAGTGGTCTATTTATAATCTCGGATTTTCTCATCGCGCCTGCGTATTATGCCGATTGCATTCTCACCGTTATTCGTTGAACGTGCTGCTATCACATCCTATGAAAGTGGGGAGAATATTACTCAAATTCGGATATGCATATATAGTACTTTAAGCGCTACACCTTTCGCTAAACTACCATAGATTTTTGCACACGTGTTGCAAACGGTTCGTTTCCCTTTCGAAAATATTATATTTTCATTTACGTTGAGAGGAGTTTCCCACTTGAGAGATATCAATTTAAAATTGAAACTGTCGTGCGAAACTTTCTACGTTTATCAAATTAGCAGCGATTCATCATATCTATTTTCACCTAAACCATTAATTCTAGATAGCTGGAACTCAGTATAGGATCCAATATGACCCAGTAAACAAATATACCTATATATTTATAGACTTTCGAAATTATTACTTTTCTCTAGCGTATCTGCTTCGCGTTACGTCGAATATCGTTCGCGTGATACACGATTAAAAGGGAAAAGTCGTATAAGCTATGGATAAAGCGAAATTAGTAAATACGTACGATACGTGCTTAATTGTCTCTCAAGCAGAAGCTTAGATCGTCGTTACTGATAAGTAACACATACAATTGGAGCAATACGTAAAAATTCTACTCCATTTCCTAATGAATTATAAATGTATTTTATGCGAAATGTACGAAATACATACGGCACTTGCGTATATATTTTATTTTTTACCTGAAAATCCTCGATAAAGTATTACGTGATACCTACGATTGGTAGACGTAAACATTTAAAGGGACTGATCCATTTTAGGCGGGAATCTGGTAACTGTTTACGCGCGTGTTCAATATAGCTGCTGTGTAGCTTTCACTAGTTCTGTATAGAACCTTTCAAGAATAGTATTTAGGATAAAACAATTTTAAATTACATAGTCGCTAAGTGTTATTTAATTTTCATACAACATAATGCCAGTCGGTTAGTCGATTACTTTAAATATTATTTTCCTCGTAAAGAGGTTACATTGAAATTTATGAAGTCATATAAGTTTCTATTGAAGTAAACAATGTTTTAGCAACAGTTTTATCAGTACAACAAGAAGTGACCAGGATTATTAAAAGATTCAAATTTGAAGAATTAGAATCGGCTGTGATGTCTCTTTTTCCGGAAATTTCATGGAGTAACATAAGATCTGAGTTGGTCAAACATCACAACAGTTTTACTTCGGCTAATGTAGCTCAACTTATCAGGACAGTTATAACTGTGAGTCTTTTACTTAAATACATCAGAATTATATATACAATAATTATCTTTATGTATGTTTGTACCTATATCTTTCTGATAGGACAGAAATATAAAGGAAAAAGATTTAAAGGACCGTTTAGCAACATTACAATTAATCGGTAATATTTATGTCTCATTATCTTCCTTATTTTTTAATCATTCATTTATTGTTACTAATAATAAACAAATTTTAGATATAAGTTGGCACAGTGACCGAAGAACATGGTATGGTCACTTGTTACAAGGTTCTAGTACATATATTAGTTATTTCAAGCATCGTAAAATTCTAGTCGACATGCAAGACTATTTTAATTCATTGCACATGAAAATAAATGTCAAAATGTATATACATAATGGTGTTACATACATTGCTTTAATTAGCAAAGAAGATAATCAGAGAAAGAAGAAGATTCGATCTGGACTTCCCATTACTTTTGCTCTATTTATGGGTCAAAAATGTTTTTTTAGTAACCGAAAGAATGTTTCTCAAGATATGTTACAAGCAATAGTACAGAGTACAGGATATGGGAAAAGTAAACAGATTAATTTAGCAGGCAAAAATCTTGTTTCATTGAGTAAAATGTGTTGGAGAAGAAAGCAAAGAGCATTGAATTTTGAAAATGTTAATAATACTGTGGAGTACAAGGATAGTGGTCCAGAGAGAAAGTAATTTTTATTTGAAATATACTTAAAAGAATATGATTCAACGTGTATAATAACAATTTCATAATTTTTGTTTACTTTTCAGAGCTAGTGGTATAGATTTTACTCAACATAAACAACGTAAAAAATATGCAGAAAATTGTTTTGGTGATAATCCTGCTACCTTAGAATTACTTGTTATAAATGGATACAATATGCCTTTTGCACATGAAGATATATCCAAAAGATTACCAAATGAGAGTACAAGTGCAAAGTTAATATTTCTCTTTTAATAAAATCATTATGTATTTTAATTTTTCATAACACTTTGTCAAAGTTAATTTAATGTATTTTAGGTGGGAGTACCGTAGTCCTAATATTACCGGCTTATTAACAAAATTAATAGAACAACGAATACTTGTTACACCTGTGCCATATTATGTATCAAATCTCATGGTGTTAGGTAAAAATGAATTTACGATTTCATAAATATGATTTTTATGATTGAATGAATAGTACAGTGATGTATATAAATGACAATTGCAGGCAATGCTTGCGCATTTTTTTAATATACAATTTTAAAAGGTAATTGATATTTATAATATTTTAGTTTATAGTGCCCAATATAACTTATTGGGACCGACGATGCACTATGTGCTATCTGTTGCAATTGATACCGCACTTTTATAATTGTCTAATTATGACAAAAAAAATTTTAATAATACAATAATGCAGTTAATAGTACAGATAATGACGCAAATAAAAATGAAAAAGCGTTATATGAATTTTGTATATTTTATGTAATATAATAATTCGAAAATAAAATAATGTTACATACAAAAGTTAAATACATTTATTATATGTTCAGTGTCAATGTTATGCTGATAATATAATAAACCATTGATATTATATTATAAGTAATGTAGACAAATTGAATTTATTAATGAATATGTAGGAATGTTAGTTCAATTTATTGTGTCATCATCAGATTCATCTTCTGATGTTAAGTCTGGATCATTAGCTTGTGACAAACATTTATCACAACGACAATTAAACAAATACAAAGAACGCAGAGCTTTTTGCCTGGAGTGTCTACTTCTTTCTACATCACATTCATCAAGGTAATTTATACATATTTCCTCACCGGGTTGAATATCACGAATTGCTTTTAAAGCTAATACATTATTTGAGTAAGGAAATTCTACAATTGCATTTGGTACACAACTATGATTTACTGCTGACTGAATAACATACAGACCAGAACCTTCATTGTTTAGGAAATCACCTACCACTAAAAATATAAAAGTACTGATATTAAGAAACTTTTGTTGCAGAACTTAAGCCTAATGTAGTTTTTGAAATATTGTACCTTCATCCATTTCATCATAAAGATGACTTATGTACTTATCAATACAAATTCCATCTTCTTGTGGATTTAATGCAGACACATTTTTTGCCCAGACACTAAATGGACTAGTACCAATGCCTTGACCATTTGTACCTATTAGAGCTAACAGATTTTTAAAACCATCTGGAGTAAACCACTGCAAATTAAAAATCAAATAATATATATTGTAATATAATAAGTATTAATTTATATTTATCTTACACACTTGAGATGTGAATTCCGTGTTCAATGCTTTCTGCATCATGTGTCTGAGTACATCAATTTGACCAATAAACTTTTCTTCTAATAATTTATGCGCAATCTGATCCACATCATTGGTCGAACGATGACAAAATTGTGAAAATGTAGATAGTATATCCTCTTTATTATTAGATTGATTAACAATAGCTACCATTCTGGCTAGTAACATTATTGTTGCAGATTCTGGTGGATAATGCATTTGCTTCCATGTTTCATTTAGCTGGACAAGGGGATGAGATTCATCTTTCTCCTTTGAGTGCAAACATAATGTTTTATGATATCTACAATTGTAAGTTAAACAACCCTGTTATTCTTAGAAACTCGTTACAATTCTCTAAATAATACCTCGAGTAAGCTTCAGTTTGACAATCGCTACTACAATATTTTGTGCCACATTCAGAACATTCTGTAATTAATTCTTTCTTTGTTTCACAACATTCCGGATAATGTAAAATCATATCACTCCCAGTCAATCTGCGTAGATTTTCTTGGGCAGTTTCTAAAGGTTTAAGACAATTGTCACACGCTAAGTATCCGTATTCTAAATTCCATGAAAATTGACAAAAGACTAAAGGTTTCTCCGTCAAAATGATATCCCCATCCTTAAAGGAACTAGTCGCAAACAGTCCTTTCCCCTGTAATGTAATTATAAAGTTCAATGTTGTAATAATGAATTCATTGTAAACGTGATAATTGAGTTCATAAGTAAACGTGACTTAAAAACATAAGGATAAAATATATTAGTACATTTTACCTTTTCTTCGTTAATTAATCTAATTTCATAATTGCTGGAATTCATCGTTATTGAATTTCTTAATAACAAAACGATACCATATGATAAAATAACAAGGTATTTTAACCATCGAATATGTATTTTTTGCTCGTCAATATAATCATACTACTGTAGTCAAATTATGACCAAGGCAGAAAAGTTCGATAGAGAAAAAAATAGTAATAATATTGTTAAAAATTATTTTAGAATTACGTAGAAATATATATGCAGGTTGTTATTTAAAGCTTCGAAAGAAACGTTTATTTATTATTTGTTCAGTTGCCCGATAATGCATGTACGGTGAAGTAACTTTAGTTAGGTAGAGTGTTCATAGCACTTCCGTGAAGACAAGCTTCGGATCGCATCGGATGTAAGTTGTCGCGAATCGGTTGAAATTTCTGTAATAAAGAACATTTCAAAACTATTGACCTTATTTTATTGGGCTACAGGGAATAATGAACGGCGCGATGGCAATGGTAAGTTAACTTTTATCGTTACTTGTATAAAAAACATTCAATTAGTAAGAGCAACAAACGATATGGAACATGATGGCGGTTGTAAAATACTTATAACGTATTTAAACGATTAACACTCGAACGATTGAATAAATTCTAAATAGAAAGCGACAGTATTCATTTTACCATGTTCAATAACTGTAAATAAATAATTAATAAGAAACCTGTGAATGTATGTTAATCGATAATGTTATTGACTTTATCGTGCAGTTTAAGATGTTAATTATTGTACTATAACATTTTTGAATATGGAACATTTAAATTATCTACCTAAATTAAACATTAATTTCCAATGATAACGAGTGTAAAAGATTATTGAAGATTTATGTAATTGTAAATACTTTCTTAACCTTTAGAGAACTAGTAGTTTTTCATAAAAATGGTCATTAATTTTTTCCAAATGTTTATGCATATCTATATATTATATAGAATGTATATGTTTTGTAATATTTGAAATATTATACAAAGTCCAGAAAGTGTTTGTTAGTCTTTTAAAAGTTAATTATTGGCCTCAGAAAATTTATTTAATATACATTTTGCAGGCACCGGCATCCCAGAACAATGCAGAACCACCAAACAAGAAAGCTAGAGTTGAAGGTACATTGCTAATGCATCCAAATAACAGTATCCCCCTAATCGCTAATAAATCGTACGGTTAAGCATACAAGTGGAAAAGATGGTGAACACAGAAGCAACAACAAGTGTAATATAATTTTAAACAAAGGAAATGATGAAGAGAAACATATACTAATTACTTAGGACAATCAGATGCTAGCTTTCTATTAAACTGCTGGCAAACTCTAAGCGTTGAGAGGTCTATTGCAGTTTCAGAATATATTTTGGTAGGCTAGGGTAATAGGTGATCGTTGGCCCTCAATAAAACTAATGTATGGTTGTCCTTCTGTTCTGAGATGTTACAGCGGAGAGACAGTACAGAATCTGTGGCCTACGACTGAGCTGTGATCATGAGCGTGCGCCAAACAAAGAAAGAGAACGCTACATTCGTTGAACAGAACAAATCAGAGTTTTGCAAACTCCACTGACACAGCATCTATTGTCGAGTACCAAATATGATGCGTATTTTAGATAGGTCAGCATTTTAGGGTAGTCTTCTTCCATCCTAATTATGAGCCTCAATTTATACAGAAATTATTTTATCGAAACAAGTCATTCTAAGATGTTGTATATTATTAAAAAAAAATTATCAGAATTTAATGGTTTCAAGAGGAGGCTTATAAATAGGATAGGCAATGGCGATGTGTATTTTTCAAGATATTCTCAAATGAAATTCATCATGTTTGCGATTAGATTACATAAGTACGAGGTAAGAGATTTTGCTAAAGAAGATGAGCCCCTTGTGATTTAACAGGAAATTACCGCAGTAGGGCGTATAACACGACAAAAATATATCTTTTCGAGGATCAATCGCGTTAGATTTCTTGTGCAATTAGGATCGCCATTGCTCTATAGAAAGTGTTAGGGCTAATTGCGTGGTAGGTTGGAAAAGGCAAACTGTAAGAAAATGGCGCAGAAAATGCACTGAGAGTATTCTCCTTTGCTTTGTGCTTACAGATTTGTGCGTCGCCTCAATCTCGGATAGTTTGCGCACAACCATCATTGCTCAGCCCAGAACACGGTTAGCCGTTAATCAAATGATTGAACAAAGTTAACAATATCAATTCGTGAAACTGCAAAAGTCGTAAAAGAGAAAAACGAGCGTTTCAACGTGTTCTGATTTCTGTTTCAGAGACTAGCAGACCAAATTGGTTATGATCGTATGAAACCTAATCTAGTTATCGGTAGTCTGATTTTTTTGAGGCATAATAATACGAACATTAATGAAGTTTAAGCAAACGAATTGTGCATTCAATTCAAGTGATCCCTTTTAATGTTAAATGTTTAATGTTCTTTTTAAACAAAATTTTTAATCGTTATATTTCTTGTACCGAATACGTAACAAATTTTTACAATAATGGTGTGCAAGAAAAGAAGGAAACTCCCCTTTTTCCTTGATATGTATATACGCACACGTGCCATGTATAATGCATTTTATACATAGTATCTTATAATTATTAAAATGTGATGTTATTCCTGACTATTTTAATTTCTTTGAACTTCCAGTTCGGAGGACGGTTCTACCGTGGGAACTGCTGCACGACGTCGTTACTTTTTTCATCTCATTTTAAGTTTCAAAATTGCTGTGATGCTTCATAGAAAAAAAATTACATTTCATATGATTCTATATTATATTTGCACAGCAAAGATTATTTAAATTACAAATCAGTAACGCAGATATCTCAAATTTTATTCGATTGTTTAAAAAAAAAGTTAGAGAAAACGAAGTCGAGAAATCAAAATTGTATTCGTTACAAAAATTATGTCATTTCGGTATCTCTATTGTCTCATTGAAGAAAGATATATGATGGAGATACTAAATGATACTAATTCTAATGTTATAATTATACCTAATGCTAACTTTCTTCGTAGGAAATGCATCAGAGTTCTTGCCAGGCCCTATATATGATCTTAATCAAATCGGACAAGTTGTCGCGGGTAAGTAAAAGTATATCGTACAGTGTTTTAAGTAAAATTTTATATGATGTAGAATCTGTAATTGTGACAATTATAACTGTTGGTCACTTCAATTTAAGTTATATTGAGGGTTGATAAATGTCTAGTGGACAAGTAGCTGATAAGATCTGATAAGATATCGGTTGAACGATCTCCTTGACTTAACGCATGCTACATTTTTTAAGCATTCTCTTTGTTTTGTTACAGGACCTGGAGCTAAGTATCTTACACTACCTGGCATTCTAGGTGCTGGTCTTCCAAAAATTACATCTGAACAACAGGATACAGTAAATAGAGCAAAGAAATATGCGATGGAACAAAGCATCAAAATGGTTTTAATGAAACAAACACTCGCGCATCAACAACAGGTAATTTTCAAGTATAAAGCTAACAAACTTTACTCGCCTAACATACATTTTGCATTCCATTGTACATTCATAAATTTTTATATTAAGAATTTCTTTGGCTCTATTATTATTATTATTATTATTATTATACTATAATTGTTATCATATCAAATGTTAAACATAAGTAAATTTTATATGCATGGGACATCCAGAAAATACTATAGAAATATTAGTAATTTTGTAACTGAATGTTAACTCTTAAGAATGCACAATGGATTTAATGTATACTTTTATCAAATTATACATTACAATTTTGGGGTTCTTTTTTATCTCAAAAAGTGTCATTTATAAAAAACTGTTTTTATATGTTGCTTCCTCTATTTAGCTCTTTGCCAATAATACCAAAAAAAAGAAAAAAAAAGTAATTTTTTTAGTATACCTATAATGATTGAAATTAACGTTTGTCCTTGCAATTTAGCTCGCCCCGCCGAGTAATTTTTAAATGATTATTCTATAAACATTTTAACCTGTGTTCGTTATGACGAGCGAGTAAAGTGACAAAAATATAACAGAAATTAAAGGAACGAACACTGGAACCTAACTCTGATCGGTTGATTTTTTCTCCCCGCAGAAGAATAAGTTGGTCCTGCGGCAGCAAGTTTTATTGCTAATGTGCAGGTTAGTGTCAACCAAATCAAGACAGAAACAATATGAAACCGCCTTACGATCAAACACTCCTAAACGTTTCCCTGAGTTACTACTGTAAGCGAAGGTTAGATATCTTGAGATAATAGTCGGCGGGAGCAGAGCTGTACCAGCGCGAAGGAGGACAAGTTTTTGTGCATGAATCTCTGGACGATTTGAGAAAAAAATAATCAATATATACTTCTGAGCTCAACTTCCTTTTCTTGTTTCATAATAATGCTCCAACGTTATGCTTGTAATATTCAAAATTCACTGTTTACAAAGTACAGAGTCCGTTGTACCTGTGTTTACAATATTTATTTGATCATTATCATCATTATGTTCGTATACGCTCGATGATAAAGACTTTCCTTTGAATGTTATCGATTTCAGATGAAACTCTTGATCTGTTTTCACACAGAGAAAAGTCTGGTTGAGCAAAGAAGGTGGAATGGTAAAAGAGCTTGGGGGATTTTTGAGATGAACGAGACTGGTGTATATAAGGGGGAGGGATATCAATAGAAGGCCTATGGTCCTTTGTGTTACAGCAAATGGCTAGTCAACGGAATCAGGTGCAGAGACAGCAGGCTCTCGCCCTCATGTGCAGGTTTGTTTGTTCTTTGTCTTAGCCCTCCAAAATTTCGACCTCGAGACTCAGCATTTTCAATCCAAGATAATTTTCTACTTTCATATCTATTCGAATGTTCTGTTAGCGATTTAAGCTAAGCAATGGTATATCAAGCAGTTCATTTCAATCTCGTGTAAGAAACACAAAACATTAAATCAAATAATTAACATAGATTTCTTTATCGTTGTGTTCGTCAACCGAATCGTCTAATTTTTAACGAGGGAAAGTCATTGCTCTGAAAAAAAAGTTAAGAAATCTTTTTAACGACAATATCATTGTAGAAGTACACGTGTTTAAGTGTTTCGTTTCGTTTGATCTATTAGTAAACAGGAGTAAAATAGTAGAAAATCTTTGAACGATTAATACGAATAAAAAGAAAAGAGAATTGTTCTAATATTCACGAGAGATTGTCGGCTGAAATAAAATTCCTGTACAACAGGGTATATGTGGGCAGCATCAGTTTCGAATTGAAAGAGGACACGATTAGGCAAGCGTTCTTGCCTTTTGGTCCTATAAAATCGATCAACATGTCATGGGACCCCGTTACCCAGAAGCACAAAGGATTCGCATTCGTCGAATACGAGATACCAGAAGCAGCGCAGCTTGCTTTGGAACAGATGAATGGTGTCATGATTGGTGGACGTAACATCAAGGTAGCGGGACGTACCTATATAACGAATTTCCTGTCCCCCAGCAATCCTATCATCCCGCCGGAGGTCGGCAAATTTTTATTTAGTTTTATCCAATATAATATCACTTTTGATGGAACTGCATCGTTCAAAGAATGCATTTCGATCAAAACCATTCTTAAATTTCTCCTGAAATTCTTAACGAACGCCTAATCAATTCAGTCTTTCAATTATTATTTATGACCGTATCGTTGCTTGATTCTTAACGCGTTTCAAAATCATTTGCATAAAATGCAATATCCCTTATTTAAGAGATTCATTGATAATATGATAATATACGTAATTCCTCTGTAATAATTCCCTTTTGTTTAATTTCTCCGTATATTATACATCTATTTTTTAAATATTTGATTTACAATTAGAACTATTTGCTCTTTATCAAGTATCGTATAAGTTAAGACATATTGTGCTATACTGAAGTGATGTTACTCAAATGGATGTACCTTCTTCCAGGTTGTAGGACGACCGTCGAACATGCCACAGGCTCAGTCTGTCATAGATGAGATTACCGAGGAGAGTAAACATTATAATCGCATTTACATCGCATCTATTCACCAAGACTTGACCGAGGACGATATTAAATCGGTATTCGAAGCTTTCGGTCCTATTACCTATTGCAAATTGGCACAAGGCAGTTCACCCCACCGCCACAAAGGATACGGTTTTATCGAGTACGAAACGATGCAGGCTGCTTTGGAAGCTATCGCGTCGATGAATTTGTTCGATCTGGGTGGACAGTATTTGCGAGTGGGTAGAGCTATCACTCCGCCAAACGCTCTTATGGGTCCCCCGAGTGGAACCAGTATGATGCCGACTGCGGCGGCAGTGGCAGCCGCTGCTGCGACTGCCAAGATTCAAGCGATGGATGCTGTGGCCAGCAACGCGGTGGCTCTGGGATTGACCAAACTCGGAGCTGCGGCTCCCCCCATTCTTAATCAAGGTAGAAGATACAGAAAATTGATTAACACGTTGAGTGCGGCGCCGATTTTTATATACTTTCCGCTCAGACGATTCCTTTTTTTCACTGTTTCTTTTGTCGTGCACTGTGACAATGGTGCAGGCGATGCACATGTATACAATGTATAAACATAAGACAATGGCGTGGGGAATGCCAGAGAGAAAAGTGCGAACACCGAGAAACGATCAGTCTGAAAAAGCCACGGAGTACGCTAAATTTTAACATAAATTTTTTCATTGTCATTCACAATTTAACCCTTTAAAATGCTGGTCTCGTGCAGCGATGTCGACCAAACGAGAAGTTCGCTGTCAGTCCCTAGGGACTGGCGTAGCACTCAACGTGTTAAGACATTTGTCAGATTTATCTTGTGATGTCTGTGCCACTTATCCCATATTCGCATGTGTACAGCTTTGCCAGGTATAGTGAGACCTACTCTTGCTCCTGCGACAATGATGGCACCACCGACTATAGCGACAGTAGCACCGGTCATTCCTCCGCCTGGTATAGCTATACCGCAGGCTTTAACTAGACCACCAGCAATTATTCAACCCATACCCGGGCAACCGGTTGTCATACCACCTCCAGCTGTCGTTGCGCCGACAATAGTGGGCACTCCGGTTGTAAGTTCTCAGCGATTGAATTTTTAACACGTTAAGCGCCACGAAAATCTTAAGCGTTCTCCCATAGAGTTTGTCTTTTGTGGCAAAGAAAAGTAGGAGTACTTATGAACTGTTTGGCGTTGCAACGTTCGCGTTACACTAGTATCAACTTAGTCACCAGTGGCTGACATGCCGCTTAACGTGTTAAACTGTTATTCGAACAGTGCTAATTAATAGCCTGTTGAAACATTGAAAATATTATGATCGTTAGATACCAGTCACAACTACAACAAATTCCGATATTATGAGGCGGGCGCAGGAACAAGCGGCTCATCAGAAACAACAGGAAGAACTACAAAAGAAGTTACTGGAAGAAACGGAACCGCAGACGTTGCAACAACAAGAAAACATGTCGATTAAAGGACAAAGTGCCCGTCATCTTGTTATGCAGAAGCTTATGCGCAAAGTTGAGTCCCGAGTTGTAATTTTGAGAAATATGGTAGCACCGGAAGACGTAGATGAAAGTTTACAGGAAGAAATTCAGGACGAGTGTTCGAAATTTGGAGTTGTAGAAAGAGTTATTATTTATAATGAACGACAGTCCGAAGATGACGAGGATGCAGAAGTTATTGTGAAAATTTTCGTTGAATTCTCTCAAATGAGTGGTAAGTTGTTGATACTTTTTCTTCCTTATTTTTTTTTGGATAATTAAATGTTTGCAGTCAGCTATATTAGTGTAATCAATTAATATTTCAGAAGCGGAACGTGCAAGGGATTCTTTGAACGGTCGTTATTTTGGTGGTCGATTAGTAAAGGGAGAGTTATATGATCAAGCTTTATTTGACAATAGCGATTTTTCAGGTTGATCATAAAGTTTATTTTTCGCGCATTCAGATGTTCTCGTTTCTTTCAATTGAAAGAATTTATATCCGCTGTTGACTGATGTTTCGTACTTCTGTTCGCCTGAAGTACTACATATTTCTTACAGACTTCTAACATTACTGTCTGTTTTATTTTTTTTGTTTTTTTATTAAATAAACCGAGGTTTAGATTTTAATTTTTGTACCACAGGATTTAAGTTTGAAATTGGTGTATTAATTGAAACACAGTTTCGATACTTTGTAGAAGATATCCAGAAGAAACATGGAAATCACTATACTTATTAAAGCGCTCAAATTTCAATCGTAATCATCGAAGTTCTGTAAGGAGAAGGATATTCCATTTATATAAATAGTTTCAATACTGATTTCCTATCGCGTCGATTCATCAATACTATGTTTTGAAGGTACAATTGATGATATACACAATAAAATACCTAAATGTATATGTATAGAAACGTAGGATATAATAAATTGTTTTACATATAGACTATACTTCATACAAACAATAAATACATAAATTATACATCATAATACAAATATATGTTATAATAAAATTTGTACATATTTACTACATATTTTTATTGGTTTTAATTACTAAATGAGTTAATTACATCTGTACACGATCAGATGATGTTAAATTAGTTACTACTAGAACTGTTAACATCGTTATTTCGGTTTCTCTGTATATTCCTCGTATTTGGGAAACGATTCTTGTCCCTTTCCTGCAGGAAGTGCCTCGGGTGTTTTATCAGTTCCAAATTTAACTGCTATTTCTGCGGCTTTTTCTTTCTTCATCATTGCTATATCGTAATTCTTTTTTATTTCTTCTTCGGTAGGTGGATCTCTCCTGCGATATCTTAACCAAGACTCCCATTCCACAGGTATTTCTTGCTCGAAATCCTCTTTGTTTACCGGTATAAAATAACGAGCGTTTTTTCTTCGTGCAGAGGTACTTTCATAATACTTTGTACCATAATAATCTTCACCTATCAATTTGGAACGTTGTACACTTGATGGTTTTAAAGAAGCGACGAAATGTTTCCAAACTATTAGTAACAAGTTTCGCTCTTTCCCAGACATTTTAGGTGTTTTTGTTAGAAAAACTTAAGCTAAAACAAAAATATGTAAATAACATTTTGAATCCAAATTGGTTAAGTAATGAAACAATTAAGAGTTTAAGTGACTGATACTCTACGATACTTACGAGTTTTATTTTAAGTACACTAAAATTAATTTTTGCTGAAGCACGAATTACAAGTTAGAACAACTTCTATTAGTACACACATTCAAACAACCGTGAATAGGTAGTAGTTGGTCGTGTTTCGACAACTGCGACGAGCAAGTCATCCACCGTGATTTACCGTGAACAACATTTTTAGAGTTTTCAAAACGTAATATTTATAAAACGCTAAGTACTTTACCTATATAACAATTGCACATTTCTTTCTAAACAAGGTCACTGTATATAAGCATTTTATGCGGTGCGTGTCACGTGTAATCATCTACTACGATAATCTCCATCTTTAATAGTAATTTATTTTATTATATTGGTTATCCTGACAAGAAAAGTTGGATTACTATATATTCAAGTTTTCAATTATTTTTTTCAATTGAAATGTATCTTCTCTAAGTTTGATTCGTCCTCAATGCGAAAGATCTATCTTAATTCGATATATCTCTGAACTGGTGTTTTATTTTACTGCTCCGTTAACGCAGAAAGTAACCGTGTACAATGTTTTTCATTTCACGTATCGTGCTACTTCTGCGCAACATAAAGGATTAAGGGTACACTAAATTCAAGAAAATTCTGCTCTATCGCAGAATGTAAATTTGTTTTATGACGCTAATGAGATTGTGTAGCATTGAAAGGTTTCCGCAGAGGTAAGAGCACGTCGGTGAAATCAATTCCGTAATTTAATAACGAATACGAATTTTCTTCCGTGGACAGCCATGGACATTAACGTGTACATTTCTTTCACTACAGACTAATTTTTCTAACGTAAAACCGAGTCGCGAGAGGAAAAATCAAATTCCACCGTCCCGTTGAACGTCTAACGAATATTTCTATGAGTGTAAATTATGATTTAACCCAATGGCGCCTACAACGACGGTAGTTGAGTTTTAAACGTTGGCTGATCATCCGTACGATTGAATTACCGTCCGCCTACACGCTTTACGGAATATATCGAGAGGTAATTTTTTTTAAAATGCATTTAAAATGCATTTTTGCGTTTATAAGCTGGAGAGCCTCTCGCAGAACACAGGCACACTTGCCGATTGGTTACGTCACTTCCAGGCGTGGTACGATGCAATGTGTTATGTGCGTGTGCTACTGAAAATGGCCGTGTACGTACGGGTCCGTCTAGTTTACTGATTTCAGCATACCTTTTTCACGTTTCCTCGACTATTTTTGGGTGATGAACAGTGGGATTCTCGAAGATACATACAGTTTGTGAGATCGTGTGAAATAAGGTTCTCAGTGGATCGTCAATGGTTACGGACCAAGACAAAGTGTGCCCGTTTCGTCAACGGTGGATCATTAAAAGAGAAGGTGAGCAGAGGATGTGTCTACAGATTTTTTTTTCGACAATTGTGTTGCCCCGTTGAAAAATCATTCGTGATGCTCGTATCGGCAACGATTAGGGACACATTTGCCTGATCGTTTCGTGTCATCAAAACGAGAATACTCTCTCACGATTTATCGCATCTTGCGTGTCGAGAGAAACACGTATCGGCTTTGGCAGGCTACGAACAGCATAGATGACTTCGTGAAAATTTCATCGATGCATTTCAAATGCGTCTGCACGCTGTCTTCTTTCTGGACGTGATTTTCAATTCGTGTCAGTCGGTTTCGTCTCGACGAGCCTGATCGTTGATGCTTTTCCAATTCATGGAAGATGGGGAAAGTGTATTTACAAAACGATGGCGGACAGATACGGCTGAAGATTACTTGTCAAAATTGTGTCAATCTCGTGACTCCGTAGTTTCGACATTTCTAACAGATTTCCGATCCTATATTTTCCAGTGGGACGAATTTTCCAATGATCTTACGCTTATCGATCTATATATAGTTTTATCTTGTATTCGGAAACGGATTTAACTACGATAAATTTGACTTTTTTTGAGAAATAAATATCAATGATAAATACGCAGGGAAATGTAGCACATAATCGAGCATCGTTTTATACGAGGTATAACGCGGAGTATGGAAGAATATTATAAAATATACTTTTATCCACGTTATAAAGATTTTCTTCGAAATATTAAGAAAATTAATAGTTGGAAATAGTTAATTGAAATTGCATAAAATATAAAAACAAAAGATGATGCGTATGTCAATTTTGTTCACTTTGTTAACTATAGATTTTTAATTTTCTTGTTTGACAATATTTTCATGATATTTTTATATTATTTATCTCATTGATAGCTTATATTTTTATCGTGAACGTGTTATCTTTATCTTTGGTACATTTTATA